TAATAACTATCCCTGCTTCTGCAACTATGTCTTGGGATAGGAATCAGATGAGTAGCTATGACACTGAAATCATAGACTTCTAAATTCTCCGACTTTTAATCACTTAAAAATAGTGAAGAGTCTCTCTGTATACATACTTATATATTACTATATGTATCTCCTTTTTATGTCTTTCCTGGTGGTTCATTGATAAAGAATCTGCCTGTCAATGCAGGAGATGAGGGTTTGATCCCTGGGTCAGAAAGGTCCCCTGGAGAAGGAAATCCCCTCCAGTATTCTTGCTTGGGAAATCCCATGGAAAGAGGCATCTGGTGGGCTCCATACAGTCCATGGGGTTGGGAAAGAGTTGGCCATACCTTAGCGACTCAACAAAATATCCTTTTTAACAGGCTGCCACCTTCCATACTGCCTTGGAGTTCTGCTTTTAACAATGTTGGCAGTGCTTCATCAGTCGTAGATGACGACTTGAAGTTTTAGCTACTTAACTGACACATATGTTATGAGAGCTCATCTTTTCTTTACTTTGCCCTCACACGAGAGATAGCTCCCATGTTGTTTCAGGAAAATAGAGATCAATAAAATGCAAAGTACATGTTTGAAAGTGAAGTCAGTCCAAATTCAATGACCTACACTGTGGAAAAACAATAATTCATTAAAAAATAGATTTTAGTGAACCCTTGGTTTATATTCCAAATTTAAAAATAGGAACGACCCTATTTCTAGGCTATCATACTCATCTTTAATTAGCATGCCAGGTGGGGAGTTGGTTTAAGATGGTAAATAGAGTGAGAACGAAGGGGAATTCAGTTCATGTCAGTTCAGTCGCTCAGTCGTGTCTGACTCTTTGCGATCCCATGAACCGCAGCATGCCAGGCCTCCCTGTCCATCACCAACTCCCAGAGTCCACCCAAACCCATGTCCATCGAGTTGGTGATGCCATCCAACCATCTCATCCCCTGTCATCCCCTTCTCCTCCTGCTTTCAGTCTTTCCCAGCATCAGGGTCTTTTCCAATGAGCCAGTTCTTTGCATCATGTGGCCAAAGTATTGGAGTTTCAGCCTCAGCATCAATCCCTCCAATGAATATTCAGGACTGATTTCCTTTAGGATGGACTGGTTGGATCTCCTTGCAGTCCAAGGGACTCTCAAGAGTCTTCTCCAACACCACAGTTCAAAAGCATCAATTCTTGGGATATAAATCTGAGAAGGACAGAGAGGGCCTGAAATGAAGCTTTAGCATATCAATTAGCAGTAAGAGCACCTCCTCACAGAAAGACTGTAAGGGGAGAAGTCTGGGGGATGGGGGAAAATTTATTTACAATCAGGTCTCAACCAATATGGGATGAAAAAAAATTTTTTTAGTTTTATGCTTCTATTCCTAAGAGACTGAAATAATATAGTCATAGTATTTATAAGCACTCTAAGACTATTTGGGGACTGTTTTATTTCAAAGCTGAAAGCCTCAAATGGGAAAAAGAAGTAGAAAATTAATTGTGTTTATCTTTGCATTTCAATTCTCAAATCCTATCTTTTTTTGAAATAAAGAATTTCTCTTCTCCCTTATACCCTTTAGCAAATAAAAATGTTTTTTTTTGCATTAATGCAATTGTATTTGAATTTGCAACACAAAATCTAACAAACAGGAAAGGTGTTTTAAAATCTCTGGTCAAGATACATAGTTGCAAATAAAAGAAAGTGTTCAAGGGACACCACCCCTGGTGATCCAGCCATTAAGAATCCACCTGCCAATTGACCAGACACAGGTTCAATCCCTGATCCAGGAAGATTCCACATGCCGTGGGCCAACTAAGCCAGTGGACCACAACTACTGAGCCCTTGTGCTAGAGCAGGTGCTCTGCAATAAGAGAAACCACCACAATGAGAAGGTCAAACACCACAACGAAGAGTGGTCCCTGCTCCCCACAACTAGAAAAAGCCTGCGAGCAGCAACGAAAATCCAGCACAGCCAAAAACAAATCAACTAATTAATTTTTTAAAAAGTTTACCGTTAAAAAAAAGATTGTCCAAGAATAGAAATGTAAGACATTTAAGAAGTGTATGCCATCAGAACCCGAAAATGTATTCCCCTAGATCATACACAGATGAAGGAAGTAAGTCTACAAAGAGGAGAAATTATTTGAAGATTTTGAATTATTTTGGTAGTGGGTTTGAATAAAGCTTACATAAATATATATATATTTAAAGATGTTGCTAAGACGTGACTCTCAGACTTTAGAGAAAAGTTCTATTTAGTTACCCTTGCAAACTGTTTGTCTAATTTTTTTTTTCTCAACAAATGGTTTCGATGGTCCCTAAATTTTTCTGGAATTTGGTGAAGTGCGTAGGTGTCCTTGATGTTGGCATCAATCAGATTCATCATTGAATGGCTAGGTGAACCCTGTCGGTTCTGATCCAGTCTGGAAGGCTCTGCTTGTAGATTTGCAGATCATCTCCTGTGTCCCATACTGCATTCATCAGCCAGTGGAAGCTGGGATTGATAATATCTTTATTATAAGACTCTGCTCAAGTGGCTGTTTCAATTTCCTTTAGGTATGGTCAAAAAGTTTTTTCTTAAAGATCAAGTTTCAAAGGACAATAAGCTTATGTAGGCTTATATGAAAACTACATATAATATTTACATTTTGGAAGTTATATTAGCTCTTTTCTAAGTTAGTGAACCCTGTTTTGTCATGTAGTAGTATTTATATTTGCTTTTTGTGTCTCACCTCTCAAAAAGCAACTTATCAAAAACTGTTTTGAGTGGTTCAAAACATTTGCAGAGGGCAATTCTACCTTTTGGCTGTCAATTATAACTATCATTGTAAGTCACATAGTATAAGTAAAATGTATTATTTAAGGTCTGAGTGATTGAAATAAGAAATTTAAGAGATACAGTTGCCATCAAACTCTGTATGCTGAAGAATTGAAATACTTTATGAAAAACCATGATGAAAAATAAGACTTTTTCTTCTTCATGTACAAGTAACAAAATTGTTCTTGGAGGTAGAGTTGATGATTAATGCCAGAATCTGTATTAGCTTGGGGGATTTTACATGGAATTTCTTGAGTCATTCCTTTGCCTTGCAAAGTACCACTCAAGAAACTGATTTAGACTGTTTTCATATTCTCATACTAGGTGATTGCTCTGAGCTGGCATAAGAATTATCCTGGGCAGTTTACTAAGGGTCTTCTTCCCCTGGACCTTCCCCATCCCTCCTACCCGTTTACTGAACTCTTCCTTTTGAATGCCCATGGCTCTGCTGGTACCGCCTCTGCTGTTCCCTCTGCCTAAAAAACTCTTCCTCATGAATCAACTTGCTTGATTTCCTTACTCTTTTAAGTACTTACTTTAAATACCACCTTTTCAATGAGGCATAATTTTTAATACTGCTGCTCCAACCTGTCCTTTCTCCCCAGGTGAGGTATTGGGTTGGCCAAAAAGAGGTTTTGCACTGAGGTTTTTCTGTAACATCTTAGGGACAAATCTGAACGAACTTTTTGGCCAACTCAGTACTATTGTATCCCTGTTGAACAGGTGAGCTAATTAAGCCTCAGACAGGTTAAATGAGTTAACTAGTTCAATTTAAGCTACTTACAATTTTTCACCTTTATAATTCTTTAATAAATATCCTTATGCATGCATATTAAGTTGCTTTAGTCATGTCTGACTCTGTGTGACCCTATGGACTGTAGCTCGCCAGGCTCCTCTGTCCATGGAATTATCCAGGCAAGAATACTGGAGTGGGTTGCCATTCCCTCCTCCAGGGAATCTTTCTGACCCAGGGATCGAACCTGGGTCTCCTGTATTGACAGATGGATTGTATACCATCTGGGCCACCTGGGAAACCCAAATATCCTTAAACGCATACCTTATTTTCCCCTCAGGATAATTTTCCATATGTAGACATGCTGGCTATAACAGTAGGCATATTTTCTGAAAGTATACTATTTTTTGGCTTTGTGTTTTAATTGTAGTGGCAGCAATGGCAGAGAGCTAAAATGAAGTACTATATGAAAACTTGGATTTATGTCATGTAAGTTGGACCAAGCATCCCCCTTTAAGATCTGTTAGGTTTTCCGCTTTGTCAAAAGGTACTTGCTTGGTCCCTAGAAGAGAAGTGGCTCTTTATCCTGGGAGAAAGTAAAAAAAATGTGAAAGTGTTAGTCACTCAGTCATGTCCAACTCTTTGCAACTATGAACTGTAGCCCACCAGGCTCCTTGGTTCATGGAATTCTCCAGGCAAGAATACTGGAATGGGTTGCCATTCCCTTCTCCAGGGGATCTTCCCGACCTAGGGATCGAACCCAGGTCTCCTGCATTGCAAACAGACTCTTTACCATTTGAGCCACCAAATTTGCTCATAATTTGAGCAGTAGCTGATACTTGGTCTTCTGTTACGCCTTTGGGCCACTGAAGGAGAAGAGGTGAAAGGTGATTACTGCTGCTGAGGGCACATGCCATGACAATAGCTGTTTGTCCCACCTTTGACACTTCCATGTAGATAGAGCTTTAAGCCAGGTACTGCTTTATCCCAATTGTCTCTTCAGGTTTCTTTGAAATATTTGTGATTTGCTGCTGCCAATCTGCTGCTCTCTGACAAAGTACCCAGCATGGAATTGAAACAAATACTAACTTTTTGATAGTATTCTTTAAAAACTTTCTTTTACAAAGCTAAATAAATCCTTGTGCTTGATTTCAGGTGCTAACTTAAAAATGAGGACTAAAACAATATTGTAGATCAACTATACTTCAAAAAAAAGTTGTCTTGAACTTTCCTGATGGTTCAGTGGTTGAGATTCTACCCTTCCAATGCAGGGATGCAGAGGGCATGGGTTCAATCCCTGGTCAAGGAAATAAGATCCCACATGCTGCATGGCACAGCAAAAAAAAAAAAAAATTGACTTAAGCAATATAGAAAAACTGAGGGCTTATTTCCATCCCTTCATCACTTAACATGAGCTACTAACCTGAATGATAATAGGACCTTTTCTTTTTAACAGTCGGTGGCATCTATACTGTGATTCAGACAAAGGCCAAAACTACAGCAGATGAATGGGGAGACAACTATTTTCTGATTGGTCCATATTTTGAGCATAATATGAAGACTCAGGTGGAACAGTGTGAACCTGTGAATGATGCCGTTAGAAGAGCCATGGACACGATGAACAAACATGGCTGCCAGGTAAAAGACACCGTCTGATGCTTCAGCATCTCAGTAAACTGTTGTGGAATCACACCACACTCTACATAACTCATGAGAAAAGACCACTCATCTTCTTCGACCAAAGAAGTTGGTTTATGAGAAAGATGATGAACTTGATTTTAGATAGGTTACATTTGAGACACCTTATGAAAACCTAGTAGTATAGTATGTTTGGGACTCAGCAGAAGGTATAGAATAGAGATGCTTGGGGGAAAGTCAGTTGTGTCTAAATTGTAATTGACATTATGGGTGTTTATAACATTATTCAGTGGAAGATTATAGACTAAGAAGCAACATTTTGAGCCAAACCTTGGGCGATGTCAGTGTGTTAGAACATCCACATGAAAAGAAGTCAGGGACTGCAGAAGTAGAAGTTCACCTAATGATTAGAACCAGAAGGGCTTTGTAGTTGTGACAGTGTTAAGGTTCTTGAGATGGGAAGGTTATCCTGGATTATCTGGGTAGGTCCAATGTAATCATAAGTATCCTGATATTAGTAAGAGGGGAGCAGTAGAACTAGAATCAGAGAGGAGATATGACAATGCAAGCAGAAATTGAAGTGATGAGAGCTTTGAGGTGGAGAAAGGGGCCACACGCCAAGGAATGCGCATGGCCTCTGGAAACTGGGCAAGGCTAGAAGACAGATTCTCCCCAAGAGACTGCTGATGAAATGCACCTCTGCCAACATGTCAGTTTTAACTCATAAGACCCATTTCGGAGGGCTAACCCCCAAATCTGTAAGACAATAAAGTGTTCCATTTTAAGTTACTAAGTTTGCAGTAGTTTTTGCCATCTCAGTAGGAATAGAGATATCAAGGCAAGGAAGGAGAGAGTTTCAAGTATAAAGGAGGGACTGGATCAACCAAGGATTGAACCTAGGCCAGTTGGGTTGAGCAATACTCAGGTCATTTGTGGTCATCTTGCTAATGACAACTTCAGAGGAGAAAGTGGGGTTAAAGCAGATTGCAGTAGCTTGAGGAATGAATAAGTAATGAGATAAAGGATACAGAAATGTGACTGTGAGGCTTTTCTATGAAGAGGAAGGATAAAAGTTATTTCAAGTGATATGGCTTTGGGAATTCATGTTTTCTTAAATATGAGTGAGCATATTTATATTCTAAAACGAAACATCCAGAGGATAGAGAGAAACTGAAAGCTTAGAAGGAATAGATGATGAAAGAGAGTAAGGTCACTGGGAACAGGAGAAGAAATGAGATCCAAAACCCTACTGAAAGGATTGTTCTTCACTCCTTTTGCTCAAACTGGAAACACAGGATAAATGCAAACAGAAATGAGTTACTGAGGAATTCAAGATCATCTCACTCTGTGTTTTCAATGACCTTAAGTGCTCAAGATAAACTTCTGAGAGTTAGAAGGCAAGTATTAATAAAAGAGTGTGAAGAAAGAAATTCTGGAAAAGTGTTTAAGGAATAGGGAAAAGAATTCCCGAACATTGTTAAAGTATGTGTGTGTGTTAGTCGATCAGTCATGTCTGACTCTTTGTGACCTCATGGACTGTAGCCCACCAGGCTCCTCCATGGAATTCTCCAGGCAAGCATACTAGAGTGGGTTGCCATTTCCTTCTCCAGGGGATCTTCCTGACCCAGGGATTGAACCCAGCTCTCCTGCATTGTAGGCAGATTCTTTACCCACTGAGCCACCAGAGAAGCCCCTCCTTAAGGTATAGTCATGACTTTTTAATGGCACAAATATACACAACTGTGACTTTCTCCAGCTGTCTCCTACATAGGAATGAGTTCTGTTTTGAGAGCACATTCTCAAGTTCAATTGTCTGTTCACCAAAGTTAGCCTAGGTACCCAACTAACACAATCGGCTATATAGCACTGTCCTGTGATAGGTTTATAACACTTTTCAAACAAACAATATATAAAAAATGGACACAAAAAATAAAACATTTTTAGTCTTACAGCACAGTGCCTTGAAAAGTGCAGTAGTACGGTCCCACAGCTAGCATTCAAGGGCTGGCATCAGGTAAACAGACGAGAAGATTTACTGACTGGAGGAGGGAGGTGGGAGATGGTAGAGATGTAGGATCATCAGCAATAGGAGATGGAAGGTGAGTTGCAATTTCACGAATGCCTGATGTTGATGGCACAGGGTCTGGGGCCTGAAATAAAGTACTATACTATTGTACTCTATACAGTACTATACAGTAAAGTACACAAAAGCACAACCATTTGTAGAGGATGCACACATGTGACCGTATATGCCACACATGTGAACTAACTTATGTGATTGGACATGTGAACACATGTTTGCATCTTTGAAAGTTTGCAACTTGAAGGTTCATATGTAGAGGGGATTTACTGCAGTCAGCAGCCTGACTGAAAGTGTTAGAAGTTAAATAGCTGGAGATTCAGTGTCGTTTAATATCAGCACGTGTGCAATGTGGCAAGGTGGCATAAGTCTTGAAGGTAACCATGCAATTGACTGAATTAATGGTTGAGTTGCTGGACAGTTGGATCTGAAATGGACAGGAAAGGAAGCAATGAAAGGAAAAAAAATGGTGATGATGTAGGACAAGAAGGAGGGTTCTAGAGACTGGAGATGCTGAAGAGGAAAATGAAAGAATACATAGACTGGGAAAAACACAGTGAGAGAAGTATGGAAGCTGTGGTTGAGGGATACAGTGCTAAGGTTAAACATTTCAGAGGAGCAACAGTTCGGCTATTGACAAGGATAAGATTGCAGCCTTGAGCTTGGGGGGCTAACATGCGGTGGACATGAAGTTCTTTAAAGTCAGTAAGGTCAAATAGCTATGAGGTAAGTGTAGGATACAATCCTGGATTCTAAAATTTCCCAGAATTAGGTAGAAAAGTACCCAGGAGATTCATAGAACAGGGAAAGGTAACATGTTTGGATAATGTAAATTTCAGAGATGTCTTTATATACAAAGAAAGAGTAAGGTTTTAAAAGTTTCAGTGTGATGTAAAAAAATCTGCACTTTCCTTCACTTTCACCCAAGGAATATAGTTTCTAAGCGTGGAAAAAAGAGTTTTCATTAAGATGTCGATAGGAGTGCTGGTGTCTAGGAGGTTTAGGGTGTAGAACATTTAGTTTAAAAGGTAAGTTGAAGTCCCAGAGGGTACTTTGGAAGCATATCACAGTGAAAATTGTGTGGAGAATTAGGAGAATAGGGAAGGTTACATGTTATAATGTTGGGATGAAATGAGTGAGATGTTAGAAGGGGTTCACATTTGCAAGTGTGAAAGTGAAAGTCGCTCAGTCATGTCCGACTCTTTGCGACCCCATGGACTATACAATCCATGGAATTCTCCAGGCCAGAATACTGCGGTGGGTAGCCTTTCCCTTCTCCAGGGGATCTTCCTAACCCAGGGATCAAACCCAGGTCTCCCACATTGCAGGCAGATTCTTTACCAGCTGAGCCACAAGGGAAGTCCAAGAATACTGGAGTGGGTAGCTTATCCCTTCTGCAGAGGATCTTCCCGACCCAGCAATCGAACTGGGGTCTCCTGCACTGCAGGCAGATTCTTTTTTTTATTTTTATTTTTATTTTTTTTTCTGCTTTTTAAAATTTATTTATTTATTTATTTTTTAATCACAACCATAGTGTATCTTTTTTTTTTTACATGTATTCCCCATCCCGGTCCCCCCTCCCACCTCCCTCTCCACCCAATCCCTCTGAGATTCTTTACCAATTGAGCTATGAGGGAAGCCCCTCACATTTGAAGCTCTTGTGAAAGAAGAGGGAGATGAAAGTCTTGATGAAACTGACTGCTCTCAAGATTCCAAGAGGATTTCTAATGTAAAGATGTTTCTTGTCATGAGCAAGAATACACTGGAAGTCAAGACAAGCTAGCTTACATTTTCTGTAGTTTCAACACTTCGCTGTGCTCTTAGCTCACTGCATCATATGCCACATATCAGGCAGCCAGTAGCTGTTTGTTAAATGAATGTATAAATCAATGAATGTCCCAAAAGAATCTATTGAAAGGTTGTTTGGAGCTCAGGAAAACTAAATCTGAAAAGGAAATTATGCCATGATAAATACTGAATTGCAATGGATGCAACTGACAAGTAATGAGGACTTTTCATTGTTGACCAAGGCATGGACGGGAGAAAGAAATCACCATGAATTCCTGAGTTGCAAGCAAGGGGATGGTGATCAAATGGGCTTTCATGTTCTGGAAAATTCAGCCTTGGGAGGAGTCATAAGGTCAATGTTAGCAATGTAGACAAATTCAGTTTACTAGAGAGGACTAGATACCCAATGAGAGAGGCTCTTCACTTCTGCCAACTTCAAAAAGGGTTTGAAGTCACTTATGGAATTGGCTTGCACATAATAGGAGAAGAAACATAAAATAAAAAAATGAGTAAATTACTATAGAAAAGTGGATACCAAAAGGGAAGTTAAAATTTAGATATACAAATGACTATATAGTTACAACTGGAAAAAATTTGAAATAGCTACTGAATTAAAACTTGCACAAAGTAAAATATTTTGGAATAAAATAATCAATTTGAAGAATATAATAGAATTAGACTGCTATCTTAAAGAGAAAATGTGTCTTGCCTGTGTACATGAAGTCACTTCAGTCGTATACAGCAGTACAACTGTATGCACCATAGCCCTCCAGGCTCCTCTGTCCATGGGATTCTCCAGTTAAGAATACTCGAGTGTGTTGACATGCCCTCCTCCAGGGGATCTTCCTGATCCCACGTTTTATATCTCCTGCATTGGCAGGTAGGTATTCTAGCACTAGCACCACCTAGGAAGACCCCAAAATATGTCTTGGTCAATATATTTAGTTAAGACTTCTTGCAGCAACCATATTGGGAAACACTTATTGTCACTTTTTTTTTTTTTTGATAGGAGGAATAAGAGAAATCATATCCCTTTGTCTAGAGAAACAACCTAAAACCATGAGCTCAAGGTCATGGGAAGGTAATGATAGACAGAAGAACAAAGATCACATGATCTATATACTTCATTTTTGAATGACTAAATTTAATGAAAAGCAAGAACTCGGAGATTCTAGATGAATGGGTGCTGGCTCATTTCCTCTTCAGGCTCAAACATGAGATGCTCCGTGTTATCACTATTGTTTCCTGTATGGCTTGTGTCATCTCTGGAGGTCTAAACACAGTTTCTATCAAGCACAGCTTCTAAGTACAAATAGATTTTCCTCCCCTCATCGTCTAGTGTTGCTCCATGGCTGTGTGTCCTTTCTATGGCAGGTGCGCTTTGGAAGATGGCTGATAGAAGGGAGTCCTTACGTGGTTCTCTTTGACATTGGCTTTTCGGCTTGGAACCTGGACAAGTGGAAAGGAGACCTATGGGAAGCATGCAACGTTGGCATTCCTTATCACGACCAGGAAGCCAACGATATGCTGATCTTTGGGTCACTAACTGCCTGGTTCTTGAAAGAGGTACTGTTTACTGTAGAGTCCCATGAGAGAGGAGAAGCAGATTGTAGTACCCAGCAATGATCCTCTGGTTTTTAAGCTAGTTTTGAGATGGTACTGTTATTGTTTTATTGACATATCAAAGGAATCTGAGAAAATGTCTTCTTGTAACTAAATGAGGATTCTCCAGGCAAGAATACTGGAGTGGGTTGCCATGCCTTCCTCCAGGGGATCTTCCCAACCCAGGGATGGAACCCAGGTCTCACACATTGCAGGCAGATTCTTTACTGCTGAGCCACCAGTGAAGCCCTGTAACTGAATACCAGTCTTTGAAACATGGTGATAATCATGCTTATTAATATTTACCTCATGTCAGGTTTAACTAAAACAATGTGGGTAAAACACCCAATTATATTTCCTGCTACATAAGTAATATTCAGTATATATGCAGGAAAAAATATTCTACATCATGGACTATGTACATGCGTTCCAGCATCAGGGGAGTAGAAAATGGCTTGAAATATTTGGTTTTGTTCATGCCTGAGTGCTTGTGTGACTGCAGTGGCTCTTAGATCTTTTAATCATTTACTAAAGGGTGAAGTGATCTCAGCAGTTGCTAAGAAGTCCACAGCAGTGAAATATTCTGTAGATTTAAAAAAACAATAAGAGCCTTGGAAATCAGTCTTTGTTAAATGAGCCATGTCTGTACTCAATTCCTGAGAGCATGGCAGTGAGATTTCTTCACATTCCTTGCGTTACCTCAAGATGATTATGCTTTGCTTAAAAATAAAAAAATTAAGAGTACCTCTGGCAAAGTGGGACTGTGTTCTAAGAACAAATCACAGAGCTGTATATTAGCTGTGTGTCCTCTTTACCAGTATAACTTCTTTCTGATGAAGCCAACAGTCATAAAGGGTGTGTAGGTTATTACAAGATATAAAATACAATTTGTGAATCTTTACTGCTTATCTATTTTATATATAGTACTGTGTATCTCTTAATCCTATACTCCTAATTTATCCCTACCCACCACTGTTTACCTTCTGGTAACTCTAAGTTTGTTTCTATGTGAGTCTGTTTCCATTTTGTAAACAAATTCATTTGTGTATTATATTTAAATTTCCCTTATAAATGATATCTCTGTCTGACTTACTTCACTTAGTGTGATAATCTCTACTGCACCTATGTTGTTGCAAATGACAGTATTTCATTTTTTTATGACTGAGTAATCAGCTCAGTTCAGATCAGTTCAGCTCAGTTCAGTTCAGTCGCTCAGTCGTGTCCGACTCTTCGCGACCCCATGAATCGCAGCACGCCAGGCCTCCCTGTCCATCACCAACTCCCGGAGTTTACTCAAACTCATGCCCATTGAGTCAGTGATGCCATCCAGCCATCTCATCTTCTGTTGTCCCCTTCTCCTCCTGCCCCCAAACTCTCCCAGCATCAGGGTCTTTTCCAATGAGTCAACTCTTCGCATGAGGTGGCCAAAGTACTGGAGTTTCAGCTTCAACATCAGTCCTTCCAATGAACACCCAGGACTGATCTCCTTTAGGATGGACTGGTTGGATCTCCTTGTAGTCCAAGGGACTCTCAAGAGTCTTCTCCAACACCGCAGTTCAAAAGCGTCAATTTTTCGGCACTCAGCTTTCTTCACAGTCCAACTTTCACATCCATACATGACCACTGGAGAAACTATAGCCTTGACCAGACGGACTTTTGTTGGCAAAGTAATATCTCTACTTTTTAATATGCTATCTAGGTTGGTCATAACTTCCCTTCCAAAGAGTAGTCCATTGTATATGTATGCCATGTCTTTATCCATTCATTGGCTGATGGACATTTAGGTTGCTTCCAGGTCTTGGGTATTGTAAATAGTGCTGCTCTGAACACTGGGGTGGGTGTATCCTTCCAAATTAGAGTTTTCATCTTTTCCAGACATATGCCCAGGAGTGGGATTGCTGGATTGTATGATAGCTCTATTTTTAGTGAAACAAAGTAGCTTTAAGTCTAAGAAATTGCTGCCTTGCCTAGTGTTAGAGTTAGACCTGGAATTAGATCTGGGTCCTCAGTTGTGTTACTAAATTTCTATTTGATTCTAATCAAGTTATTAACCTCTTTTTCCCCCAGTCCCATATTCTTAAAATAATAATATACAAAATAAGATATATTAAAATAATATTAATAATATAAAATAATATTATCATAATATAAAATAATGGTGTATACAATAATAATATACCAGCCAAAATGTTTTTGGCTCTAAGTAGCAGAAAATCCAAATAAGACTGACTTAAAACATGAAGTCATTACTTTTAATTTAAAAAGAAAGATTGTAAGTGGCTTGTCCCAGTTGATTGAGCTGTTCAGTGAAACCTCAAAAATTTTATTGCTATTAATCATTCATTCATTCAATGAATATTTATTGAGCACCTCCTGTACATTTATTCTAGGAGTCCCCTCTGTGAATGCAAAAATAAATCTGATCCATATTGAAAAAGAGGATTAAGTCATAAACATATATGGGCTTTATGAATAGGAAGCTAAGTTCTAGAAAGCCTTTATAGTTGATAAATCTGCATGGTTTATATTTAGATTCTTTTTAATTGTGCTAAAATTTACAAGCATAACAACTTTCCTTATGCTGTGGACCATGAGCAAGATCAAACTTCATCCTCAACTTTTCTACAAGTTTCTTTTCTGACCTAGGTGACGGACCATGCTGATGGGAGACACGTCATTGTCCATTTCCATGAATGGCAGGCTGGGATTGGACTGATCCTTTCTCGAGCTCGGAAACTGCCCATTGCTACAGTCTTTACCACCCACGCCACACTGCTTGGGCGGTATCTCTGTGCAGCTAACATCGATTTCTACAACCAGCTTGATAAGGTAATTAGCTCTTTCCTTCCGACCCTTGAAGCTGAAGGATGGGAAGTATTGATCTTCACCTTTCATCTGTCATCCAGATGGCAGAAATGCCCTTTTAACCAATCAATATTCATGACGCAGCCTCCCCTGAGGGGACTGAGAGCTCATATAAAGTTTAACTTTGTTCAGAGTGCAGCCGAGTGTAGCCGGGACAGGCCAGATGCCTGTCCACTTTGAAGTAACAGACCCAAGATCCAAAGAGGCCTGGAAGACATCAGCCACTGCAGTCCTGAGGTTGGACGGCTTGGGAAATGCTTTGAGGACCCGGGATCCTCACACAGCTCTGAGTGACAGGTACCCCACAGGGATGCTAGGCATCCGCTTGTACTATGAGCCTCACTTCCTCCATCCTCCAAGTGAACGAAGGTCAGATTTCTGCTGTAACTCTGCAGTGAGTTATAGGTGGAGTTTTGTGGGGGTCCAGTTAAGACAGAGTTACCAAAAACAGGAATGTAGATCCTTGGTGATCAAAGAGTTGGGTTTGCTTATCTTAGAAGACTGCCCTATTCTGTGACCAAAAGTCATTCAGTTTTGACTTCTTTCTTCCAGTTTTCATCAGTTCAGATTAATGTAGCTATGTTTTTCATATCATCCTGTCAATAGTAGTGGTCAAGCAACCAATATAACATTGTAAAGCAATTACCCTCCAATTAAAATCAAACAAATTTTAAAAATAAATAAGGAAAGAATGTAACAAAGTTAAAATTAAAAAACCGTGGTCAAGCATTTGAGTAACATACAGTCAGGACTTTTGCAGAATTGGTGTCTATATTGCCAGTCAAATCAATTTAGCATTTTAGGGTTTTGTCTCACTATCAGGAACATTAGGAAGATGAAAAATAGACCCCACCCCACCCAGTTTAAAAAAGCTCTAGGAGTCTATGCAACAGACTGCATACTTTTCTGAGTGTATTTTTGTGCCTATTTGTAATACGTGATTAATACTACTCAAATAATGAGAGTAGGAAGTTATACCACCATCTCAGAGGCATTTTGAGTGTAGGAAAGTTCTTTTGAACAAAACTTAACATTTGCAAAACAGTAAATGGTTCTAAGGAGAGCTTGCCTATAAAAAGGTCAACTGAACCTGAAGGTCAAATTGTAAACATAGATGTATATTCAAAATAAAGTCACCAAGGAATTCAGAAAGGTCAAGAGGTCAGGGAGATTTCCTAATAGTAGACTAATAAGGGCAAACCAGTGATCTGTGATAAGCTCGACCACCGTGTTTCCTGGAGAAGAGCAGGCTTTGATGTTTGTGAAAGAGAAAACATTACAGAGGCATAGCGAATATTTCAAGCACATCAAATATTTCACTTCAAAATACTTAAGAGCATAGTATATAGCAATTAATAAAAACAACTAATAATATTCATCAGGTTTTATTAGTTGTTTTTAAGGAACAAAATCATAATATATAGTTATATATCAATATTATAACTTTATCCTTTCAACAAAAGGTCAGTGTTCATATCACACTGTCTTCAAATATGATTGCCTATCTCCCCAGCTTAAAGTAAAGAGCATTCTTTGTAAGCATAAGTAACTTTGTGTTTCAGTGATGGGTTTAATAAAAATTTGTCGCTTCTTTTTTGTGGTCATAGAATTCCACATAGCGGTAAGGAAAAATGGTGTGAGAAATATGTGATTTTGCTTTGCCTATGTAGAAGGACTGGTGCAAGCAAATGTCTATGTGTGTATGTTTGTTTTCACAGTTTAACATAGACAAAGAGGCTGGGGAAAGGCAGATTTACCACCGGTATTGCATGGAGCGCGCTTCCGTCCATTGTGCTCATGTTTTCACCACAGTTTCTGAAATTACAGCCATAGAGGCAGAACACATGCTGAAGAGAAAACCTGGTAATTAGTTATTATCCCTCAGTTTGTCACCAACCTGTGATAGTTTTCTTTTAAACAAAAATGCATAAAATAATTATAAGAGGAAAACTGCACTATCACTACTCAAATCTTTATACGTATTTGAATTCTCATTTTCAGTAGCTTTGTTGAACACTAAGCTATATCTGGAACATAATAGTAAACAATCTGTGCTTGTTGAATAATCTATGTTTAAAGTACCCTAATTCTGAACTGGGTTGTCATAATGACTTCCTGTGTTGAAGCAAGCTGAGTTGACTTTTCTATTTTAAGAAAATGAATGTCAAGAAAATATCAGAAATGTGTGTGTGACTTCCCCAGTCCTACATCTTAGAACATTGCCTCATTGGTCCTGTTTAGTAGAAACCTGTTTTACTTCTCGCAAGATTTTCTTGCAGGTTTTTCAGGGAACTAGCCCCAGACCCGTCCAGAGGTTGCAATGCCAAGCGGTGTGTTCGCAAAACATGACCCTGTCACCTGGCCAGGGTCACAGCTGATTGGTCCAGAGGTGGATTTCTGGTATAAGTTGGCCCAATCAGAATGCTTTCATAATGAGTCTAAACAGATGAGTTTGTTTGAATACTCTTGTATAATAGAAGCTTGGAAGCTGTAAAGATACAAAGAAAGATAAACTACAGTGAAGTACAATTAAGAAGCAGAAACAGACTGAGAGACCTCTAGATTCTCTACAGTGTTTTAGACCATGGTTTAAACTAATTCCTGTGGCCCAGCTACATCTCTGCCATCAGACACTCCAGGATCCTATTAATAATTCCTCCTTGTAATACTTCAACCAATGTTAGTAGATTTCTCCTGTGCTGTGCTTAGTCACTCAGTCATGTGTGACTCTTTGTGACCCCATGGACTGTAGCCCACCAGGCTTCTCTGTCCATGGGGATTCTCCAGCAAGAATACGGGAGCGGGTTGATATGCCCTCTTCCAGGGGATCTTCCCAACCCAGGAATTGAACCAGAGTCTCCTGCATTGCAGGCGGTTTCTTTACCAGCTGAGTTACCAGGGAAGCCTAGATTTCTCTTACTTGCAACAAAACAGTCCTGATTAATACATCTTCCTTGCTTAATCCCTGTGATCTTAACTCTAGTTAATTAGTCTGTCTTTTGTATACCAGTTTAACATCTAGAGAAAGCATTACAAAGTTCTACATAATTAAAAAGGAAGCAAGTAATTTGAACAGTGGCAGCCGAAAGATCCTGTCTATTCTTTTTTCTTTCCAAAGGTGCTCTTGAGTCCACTTTGCTTCTCACACTCGTGTCTCTTGCAGGAGTTTGCTTCATCAATATGCTCACTTGTTTCTTGGATCTTACTTTTCTTCCTGTCATCAGGATCGTTTTCTGTGCTTACAAAAATGCTTTGTTTTTTCCTATTCTGAAATAAAAATTTCTCTTAAAACCACTATTCTCTTAGATGTCTACAATCTCATCCTTCCTCCTGCTATCAAGTATTTTACAAACATAATCCATAGTTTTTCCACTTAGAGCCTCTTCAACTTTAACGTCCAACCTCCAACACTTGATCTAAAATTGCTTTTTCAAAACTCACCAGGTTCACAATTCTGTAATGTTTTTATGTTCCTTGACATTCTTTAGCAATTAAAGGTGGCAGATACCTCTATCATTCCTTATTTTCATGACATTACACATTCTGAGGTTTCTCAAATATTCTTTTCTAGTGTCTCAATAGTTTCTCTACTAACTTCTGTCTTTTAAAAGCAGACATTCTCCATCATCAGATTCTGGACCCCACTTTCTCTATATACTGTTTTCTTAACTCCTTATTTTCTTAGGGGGTTTGTTGCAGGTAGTGGTGAAAACTGTGGACTTATCGCCAAACGGTCTGAATTCAGTAGCAAGAATGACTTTGTGTTGAATATATGTTATTAGCTGTAGACACTGTGGATATTGCTTAAGTCCTCTTTGCCCAGATTGTATAATGAGGGTGATATCATCTCTTATGTAGAATTGTCTCAATGATTAAAGGAGCTACTACATGAGAAGGACTCAGATACACACCTGGCCCATTGTAAGAGTTCAGAAAGTGACAATTATAATTTTGTGTGGATTAGGCTTTTCATAAATTCTCGTCTCTATTTCTGCTAACTTCACCTTGAGGTTCTCCTAGAACTATAAACCCCATAATCTACGACATTTCTGACTAGTCATGGAATCACGTGTTGGCCCTAATTGAAATTGTGAAATCCTTGATGCTTTGTGGCTCGAGAAAATCCACAGACTTTTAGTGAATTATCAAACACAAAATTTTATTGAGTGCTTGGTGTGTGCCAGACTCATTCTAGTATTTTATCCACATATATAATCTCACTTCATCATCACAGTAGTCTAATGAGATAAGAACTATCATTATCTTTCCTTGCTGTGGATGAGGAACCCAAGGGACAGAGAGGTCAAGTGACTATTCCAAAGCCAAACAGCTTGTAAGGGCTGCCATCTGGATGCTGTTCAGCTGGACCTGTTATGTCTCTTATTAATTTATTCTATTGAAGTATAGTTCATTTACAATGCTGTGTTAATTTCCATTGTTTAGCAAAGCGATTCAGTTATACATATATACATTCTTTTTCATATTCTGTACCATTATGGTTTATCACAGAATATTGAATATAGTTCTCTGTGCTATATAGTAGGACCTTGTTGTTTCAATAATGCTATTTTAGATACCCAAGAAATCATAACTCATTTTTGGTTCAGAATTTCTGAGCAATTAGACTTTCCAACTGTATGGAGATTCTAGAATTGCAAGTATGGAGCAACATTTCAATAATGTCATATGCAAATTAATCATGAGTCAACCAATTAATTATTAAACCCTGCTTCAAGCAATATGAAAGAGTAAGTGGCTAAAAACACAAGTCTACTTTCATAAAGCTTACATTCTAAGAGGAGTAAGTAGGTAGTAAACCAGATATTCAAATAAACATATGATATGTTTGGGGTAGGGCTTCCCTGATAGTTCAGTTGGTAAAGAATTTGCCTTCAATGCAGGAGACCCCGGTTCAATTCCTGGGTCAGGAAGATCTGCTGGAGAAGGGATAGGTTACCCACTCCAGTATTCATGGGCTACCTTTGTGGCTCAGCTGGTAAAGAATTTGCCTGCAATGTGGAAGACCTGGGTTCAATCCCTGGGTTGGGAAAATCCCCTGGCGAAAGGAAAGGCTGCCCACTCCGATATTCTGGCCTAGAGAATTCCATGGACTATACCCATGGGGTCACAGAGTTGGACGTGACTTACACTTTCTTTTTCATGTTTGGGGTAATAAATGCCATGAAGAAAAGTAAAGCAGGTAAGGGAGTGTAGGTGATGGGCATATTTTGCTTTTGTATTTTCTCCTTTATATAGGGTTTCAGACAAGTCCTCTTTGATAAGTGGAATTTGAGGGAACACCAGATGAGACTCAAAGTTTCATCTATATGGGGATGCCTTTGTATCCAAGAGGGAGAAAAAGAAATACGAAATACTGAGTCCCTGATGTCTCATTTGGGGCTTCCCAGGTGGCGCTCGTGGTAAAGAATCTGCCTGCCAATGTAGGAGACACAGGAGACAAGGGTTTTATCCCTGGTTTGGGACGATCCCTGGGAGGACATGGCAGCCCACTCCAGGGTAATTGCCTCGGAAATCGCATGGACAGAGGAGCCTGATGGGCTGCAGCTCATGGGGCTGCAAAGAATTGGGCATGACTGAGCGACTGAGCACTCATAGTCACATCTCACTTTGACATAAAATAATAATAGCTACCTTAGAGGTTATTTAAAAAATTAAATGTTAAAATTTCTGTGAATGCATAGCACCATTGCTGACACATGAATAAAATACATTTTAGGTGGTTTTAAAAAAACGTTTCTTTCTCGGACTGTCACAGTTCTGTGGGCTCCATGATTAAGCTGTTTGCAGTCTAGAATGTTCCCTGCTCCAAAAGCCAAGCAAGATATTTTATTTTATCTTTAAGATATATTTAAAAATATTTATTATATATCAATATATGCATGAGTGCTCAGTAGCTAAGTCATGTCTGAGTCTTTGTGACCCCATAGACTATAGCGTGCCAGGCTCCTCTGTCCATGGAATTCTCCAGGCAAGAATACTGGGGTGGGTAGCCATTCCTTTCTCAAGGGGATCTTCCCGACCCAGGGACTGACCCGGGTTTCCTGCATTTCAGGCAGATTCTTTACCATCTGCACCATCATGGAAGCCCATGAAGATAGGCAAATCTCTACTAATAATAAAACATGTCTCTCTTTTTCTCTTTTTCCTGGAGTGTTAGATACCACTGCAATGAATATTCATTAACTATAGTAGTGAAAGTGAAAGTTGCTCAGTCATGTCTATCTTTTTGTGACCCTGTAGTCTGGGGCCTGCCTGGCTCCTCTGTCCATGGGATTCTCCAGGCAAGAATACTGGAGTGGGCAGCCGTTTCCTTCTCTTGGGGATCTTCCCAACTCAGGGATCGAAACCAGGTCTCCTGCATTGTAGGGGAATTCTTTACCATCTGAGCCACCGGGAAGACCAGGAATACTGGAATGGGTAGACTCCAGGAGATCTTCCCGACCCAGGAATCGAACCAGGTTCTCCTTTGTAGCAGGTGGATTCTTTACCAGCTGAGCTACCAGGGATAAAACTTATAGAAAGAGATATATTGTAAGAGGGGGTTATCTGCTATCCTGATCACACTATATGGTTAATCTAGGTATTATTCACACGAGGGCTTTTATTGGAAACCTTGGTAACCTAAAATTAACTCTGCTGTGGCAAGATATGGAAATGAATGTAGCAAATGTTCGATTAATTAGTAAAAAAAAAAATCATAAAAGCAGAAGTTCTTTTTAAATTTTTCACAAGAAATGACCAAGAAGCCTGGATTGATTTTTATGGAGCCATTTCAAGGGAATATCTTGTTTTACTATATAAAATATCCTTCAAAATGATTACGTTCTTATAATTCTAGCTCAGATCTCCTTTGAAAAATCTGTATGGCGATGTACTAATTTTTTAATTTCTATTGTTTTTACTGCTTCTAAATACAATAACCCATGAATTCAACTCAGTAGGTGATTTCCATCATGCATTCTGAGCAGTCTTTATCTTTCTTGACATAGACCAATATTCTGAAAAATCAAAATTGTCTCCCTACCCAAGCAACAAAATCTTCTAGGCAGAAAGAATCAGTTATGTGTTGGAATAAATGGCTACTTTTCCAATGTTCCTTATGGACAGAACACTCTTCACACATTTGACTAAAGTAAAATGACAAGAGGTAGTTTAGCATGGATGGACTTAGAGGCTATCATATGGAGTGAAGTAAGTCAGAAAGAGAAAAACAAATACCATATATCAACACATATGTGAAGTATAAACAAATTGGTATAGATAATTTTATTTACAAAAGGGAAATAGAGACCCAGGCGTAGAGAACAAACGTATGGATGCCAAGGGGGAAAAGGGAGGATGGGATGAATTGAGAGATCGGGATTGACATATTTATGTGACTGTTTATAAAATAGATGGACTTCCCAGGTAGCCCTAGTGGTAAAGAACCCACCAGCCAGTGCGGGAAACATTAGAGACCTGGGTTTGATCTCTAGGCCAGAAAGATCCCTTGGAGGAGGGCATGGCAACCCACTCCAGTATTCTTGCCTGGAAATCCCACGGACAGAAGAGCCTGATGGGCTAGTCCACTGGGTAGCAAAGAGCTGGACAGGACTGAAGTGATTTAGCACGCATGCACGTGTACAATAGATAACTAATGAGAACCTACTGTATACCACATGGATTCTACTCAGAGCTGTGTGGCGATCTAAATGGGAAAGAAATCCAAAAAACAGGTGATACATATACACATACAGCTGATTCACTTTGCCGTACAGTAGAAGCTAACCTAACACTGTAAAGCCACTTTACTCCAATAAAAATCAAAACAAAAACAGGTAGTTTAGCACATAGCACAGTTAAAGATAAAACAGGTGGAGACAGATAGCATAGACTCCACCCATGTGTTCTGGAACAGATTCTGTAACAACTCTGTGTCTCAGCTTCTGCCTCTGAAATATCACCTCGCTCCACCGGGTGTTGCAGGGATTAAATGAGTTACACTGCAAGGTGTTTAGAGCAGAACCTAATGCATAAGTGATCAGTAACTGAAAACTCTTAACAATGACTATTTTGCTATTGGTCTATTACGTAATACCCATTACTGAATGCTATTTCAGTCAGATCCTTCTGATTGTCTATGTCAGCGGTTCATGGTGGATTTTTTATAAACTTCCAATTCTATGATAGTCAGAAACTAGAAATGCTAATAGACACCTAACTTGTTGTTTTTGTTCAGTTGCTAAGTAGTGTCCAACTCTTTGTGACCCCATGGACTGTAGCACTTTAGGCCTCCAGGTCCATGACCAGCTCCCAAAGCTTACACAAACTCATGTCCATTGAGTCAGTGATGCCATTCAGCCATCTGATCCTCTGCCTCCTCCTTCTCATCCTGTCTTCAATCTTTCCCAACATCAGGGTCTTTTCCAGTGAATGGGGTTTTCACATCAGATGCCCAAATTATTGGAGTTTCAGTTTCAGCGTCAGTCCTTCCAATGAACATTCAGGGCTGATTTCCTTTAGGATTGACTGATTTGGTTTCCTTGCTGCCCAAAGGACTCTCAAGAGTCTTCTCTAGCAAACTACTGTTGTTTTTGCAATGCTATCCTCTCTCAAAAGAGATTTTTCCATGAGGATTTTACTTTGCTTTTCCAGATGTAGTTACTCCAAATGGCTTGAATGTTAAGAAATTTTCAGCTGTACATGAGTTTCAAAATCTCCATGCTATGTACAAGGCCAGGATCCAAGAATTTGTTCGAGGTCATTTCTATGGGTATGCTTCTCTTTATTTAAAAAAAAAATTGTCCTGTGATGTTAGGGATCTGGGGTATAGAGAAAACAGGTTGTTAAAGTAAATGTTTATCCTTCTCAGTCCCCTTTGTGCTTTCACAGAATTCATGTGTACATTTTGTTGCTGTTGCTTTCTTTCATTGGAAACTGTTTTGTTTTGTTTTAGTCATCTGGACTTTGATCTTGAAAAAACATTGTTCCTCTTCATTGCTGGGAGGTATGAGTTTTCAAACAAAGGAGCTGACATCTTCTTAGAATCCTTATCCAGGTTAAATTTCCTGCTGAGGGTAAGAATGCTCTAGAACACCAAACAGTGCTTTTGTAGAGGACTTTCTTCTGTGGAAAGTAAAGAACTTCCTGGCTTCTTAAATGGTTTTCAAAAAAATATATGATTTTGAAGACTTAAAATGACAGCTTTATTTTTAAAATGCCTTTGGTCTTTCAATTATCATATTTAAAATGACAAATATGATTGCCACACAATTGTGTATTTGTCTAGAATGTCAGGTATTTTTTAAAGAGAGCTACAAACTTATCATGTTATATTGGGTATATAGCCAATATAATAGTATGGCTTTTTTTTTTTTAAGAATCATAGAAACAAAATTTTTTTGGAAATGCACCCCAAAGAATGTTTTATCTTAATTTAAAATTTTTAAAAAATTCTACTGATCTATAGTTGATTTACAATGCTGTGTTAGTTTCTGGTGGATGCAAAGTGATACAGTTATGTGTGCTCAGTCGCTTCAGTCATGTCCAACTCTGAGACCCTGTGGAGTGTAGCCCACCAGGCTCCTCAGTCCATGGGATTCTCCAGGGAAAAACACTGGAGTGGTTGCCATGCCCTCTTTAGGGGATCTTCCCAATCCAGGGATCAAACCCACATCTCCTATGTCTCCTGCATTGCCAGGCAGGTTCTTTACACCGGTGCCAGGTGGGAAGTCCTGATTCAGTTATACATATATATATATATGTGTATATATTCATTTTTTTACATTCACTTCCTTTATATGTTATATATGTGCCATGTTTTAAGCTGACCATATAGCATCCTCTTTCCCACCTATCCCCCAAAGTTTGTAAACAATTGAAAGATACAGAGAAATCAAGCAAACAGAGAGTAAAGAGAACAAAACCTTGCCTTTTTAAAAATTGATAGACTTAATACACTGTGGTGACCTGAATGGTAAGGAAGTCTAAAAGAGAGAAGATGTATGTGTATGCATGGCTAATTCACTTTGCTATACACTAGAGACTAATGCAACATTGTAAAGCAACTATACTCCAATAAAAATTAATTGTAAAAAATACTCTAATGGGAACTATGGCTTGGTTGCATGGCATTAATAGGCTTCCCAATATTGGACCTTGGTATTAAACTTTGTAGTATTAGACATCTGATCACCGACAGCCCTGACCATATCCATCGCCTCCAACCAGAAGACTTCAGAAAAACATGTACGACGTGACTGACAGCCAAGCAGTTGCCCTTGTAGAATGGGGCAGACACACACAAACTCTATTCCTCTCCCAGCTCACTAGCCATGCCTTGACTCTGAAATCCGAAAGCCTCAAACCATGCAGCTAGGAGAGGCCCCACCACACAGAAACATAGAGGAGTTTCCCACTCCCAAATATGGAATGATTTTTTGCTCAATAGGTTAGATTTGCTCAGAATCTTAAAATATATTCTGAACTGTTGTTGTGTGTGCATGTTCAGTCATGTCTGACTCTTTGTGACCCCATGGACTGTAGCCCACTGGGCTCCACCAGGCAAGAATACTGGAGTGGGTTACTCTTTCCTTCTCCAGAGGATCTTCCTGACCCAGGGATCGAACTCATGTCTCGTGTTTCTTGCATTGGCAGGCGTATTCTTAAAATAGAGTCTGAACTAATCCAGCAATAAAACCTGTGCCAACAGAAGTACTGCATCATAGATATTGATGAAAGTTATCAGCTTATATTCTTGTCACATCATAGAAAAATATAGAATACATAAGGAAAATAGAAGAGGTCAGTATAGAAGTCTAATTTTACTGAGATGCTGAGACAATCTAAATTTTCCTGAGCTCTGTGTAACTCTCCCGCTAAGTTTTTATTTCTCGGACTTAGATTTATCACTGTCTTAGCCCAGATATTCCTGGATGGCTCAGAGGGTAAAGAATCTGCCTGAAACACAGGAGAGACAGGAGTTGCAGGTTTGATCCCTGGGTCCAGAAGATCCCCTGGAGAAGGAAATGGCAACCCACTCCAGTATTCTTGCCTGGGAAATCCCATGAACAGAGGAAGCTAGTAGTCTACAGTCCAAAAGGTGGCAAAGAATCAAACATGACTGACAGACTAAACATATACACTGTACCAAGTATTTTAGGAGATTACTAAAATCACATTAATAAACATCCACGCTTATAAAATAGGATTGAAGATCAGAAAGATTATTCAAGAATAAACAGGAATAATCTTATTTTACAGTATTTTCTGATATGTATCTATTTAACAAGCTTTATAGATGGACTCACAACTATATAAAAATGTAGCATGTCTAGAGACATTATTAATTTATCCATACATTTATTAAATATTTGCTTTATTTTTAGATGTGAAGAAAAAGTGAATTTCTCTTATTCTAGACATCAAAGATAATTATGATCCTTGGAGAAGTCAAAATAAGACATTTTCTTTCCATATAGTACATTTAGTCTTCAATAAAAGCACATTGCCTACTCCTGGGGTGTTTCCTATTTTATGGTTCCTATAGATATTTTGAATAGAATATAAGGTCCCAGAGGGCTGAGACCATAGGTTAGATGATAGTGCTCCACATTCAAGAGTCAGTCATTTCAGAATATAAAAGCATTCATCAGTACACAGTCTTAAGTAAGTTTACACTATCATTCCCACAGCTGTTTGGCATGTCATTTCTTTCTGAGAAACTTCAGGTCAATAGTGTTTTTGGAATAGGAAAAGTAAACAGATTGTAGAGTCAAAAAACACTAGTTTAAAATAACAAGACAAAACACTAGTTTGACTCCCAGGTTTGCCAATAACCTGTGATAGGAGCTCAGAAGAATAATCAAAAGTCCTGTGCCTCTCTTTTGAAATCAATGAGGAAAGTGATGGTTAGGCTTGGGTTAAGTTCTGTGTTTAAAGCACCCAACACAGTAACTGCTACACCAGAAGTTCTGAGTCCCCATTCTGGTTCCTTCATGCTTGGGAAAAAAACACAAAATGCAACATCATGAGAATCAAGACATTTAACAGAAAAATGTAATAATCTGTTTGTGCAAATCCATGTAAATTAGCTATAAGACATAAACCCAAGTGAAATCCTTATTAACTTTCCAATCTGGAATTTTAACATTTGTGTTATCTTTTATGTAATTTTTTTAACAACAGAAAACCACAGTGATATCAGTAGCAATTGCTATATATTTTAGATGATGGATGCCATGAAATTATTCTGTGTGGATTTTTAATTGTTAATTGTCAGATCTTAGTTGAATGTCATATTTAAATTTTCTGAAGAAGCTTCAAGACAGTGGTGTATAATTTGTCAGTCATAAATAAGTATTCTTATTCCCTCAAGATGTTTCAAAGCACTCTTTGCCACAGTTTAAGGTCCAGATGTCACATGGTTTATTTTATCTTTGATAGTTGACTCTGTTGTGTTTTCTAACCCCTCATTAGATGCATAAAAGTGACGTCACCGTGGTGGTGTTTTTCATTATGCCTGCCAAGACAAATAATTTCAATGTGGAAACCCTGAAAGGCCAGGCAGTACGCAAACAGCTATGGTAACCTCGCATCTTGTAAATATTCTCAAGCAATAGGTGTAAAGGGATTTTTTTTTTAAGTGCATGATTTCTGATCTATTTCCTTGAACTATTTTTTCCCCTTAAGGTTATAATAGCTTACATACTACTTGGTTCTCTTCTCATTGGTTCTTTTGTTAAATTTTGTCATGTCTATAAAACTGTGTTCATATAAAAGTGTTGGAATGAGCTACTGTGGAGGGATAAGGCCTTTGTAGAAATCTTTAAAGATGGCTCAGATTTTTTAAAAATTTATTATGGAAATGTTAAAACATATGCTGAAGTAATGAAATTAGTATCGTGCTCCCCCTCTTCCCCATAGGCCAGACTCAACAATTATAAATGTTGACTTAAAAAATAGTTGCAACCTAAAAATTGAGAGTTATGTTTTATTTGCTGGGAATATTTAGAACTTTGAGCCCGGGAGACAGCATCTCAAGTAACCTTGAGAGAACTGCTCTGAGGAGGCCAGGAGAGGAGCCAGGTTATATAGAAGTTTTGCAACAAGGGGCAGGGAGTCTGAGCATCAAAAGATTATTGCTAATTAAAGAAAATCAGATATCCCCAGTTAAGGAACTTAGTGCGTTTCTCTGTATGGGAAGATGCAGGAGTCTGGACTCACTGAAAACATCCCCCTGATAGAAACCTCCCCTATCTGCGGCTAGTTTGCAGTGTTTTTCACATTCTGAGCTCCCTTGGGACTCACAGTAGGTAGTGACTGCAGTCTGATGGCTGCTAGTTGGCAGTATTCTTCTCCTTTCTGCGTTTCCTTATGGCTCACCATCTCACACCAGGGGCTACAATTGCTGATGACTGTGACATCCTTGTTTACTGATATGGAAGGAATGTTCCATTTCTTATAAACAAATTCCTCATATTATATGCATACCTCCATACACTCCCTTTCCCTTCCCCCAACCTTCTCCTGTTTATCATCAAGCCAAAGAAAGTTACACGCCCCGCACTGGTCAGGGTGTTCAGTTGCCTCAGCTCTAGAGGTGTTAACTCAGGCTAAATTGGCAAATAAGAAAAGAACAAAAGAGGTGATATAAAAGAGACCTGAAGTTTCAAAGAATGCACTGACAAAACACCGTCATGGAAAGAAAGACTTAAAAGGGTGACATTGTTTGAGTTGTATATCTTTCTGTTCATACAGGGACACTGCACATTCTGTGAAGGAAAAGTTTGGAAAGAAACTGTATGATGCATTATTAAGGTAGGAGCTTGGAACACTAAACCACTCAAACATTTAGGGCTTCACTACTGAGACACGTATTTAGACACTATGCTAATTTTGTTCCAAATATAAAAGAATTAATAGCCTCTGAAGATTTTCCAAGCCAGGCTTCAACAGTACCTGAACCCTGAACTTCCAGATGTTCAAGCTGGATTTAGAAAAGGCAGAGGAACCAGAGATCAAATTGCCAACATCTGGTGGATCATAGAAAAATTGAGAGAGTTCCAGAAAAACATCTACTGTTGCTTATTGACTATGCCAAAACCTTTGACTGGGTGGGTCACAACAAATTGTGAAAAATTCTTAGAGATGGGAATACCAGATCACCTTACCTGCCTCCTGAGAAATCTGTATGCAGGTCAAGAAGCAACAGTTAAAACTGGATGTGGAACAACAGACTGGTTCCAAATAGGGAAAGGAGTACATCAAGGCTGTATGTTGTCATGCTGCTTATTTAACTTATATGCAGAGTACATCATGTGAAATGCCAGGCTGGAAGAAGCACAAGCTGGAATCAAGATTGCTGGGAGAAGTATCAATAACCTCAGATACGCAGACACCACCCTATGGCAGAAAGTGAAGAGGAACTAAAAAGCTTCTTGATGAAAGTGAAAGAGGAGAATGAAAAAGTTGGCTTAAAGCTCAACATTCAGAAAACTAAGATCATGGCATCCAGTCCCATCACTTCACGGCAAATAGATGGAGAAACAGTGGAAATAGTGGCAGACTTTATTTTTGGGGCTCCAAAATCACTGCAGATGGTGACTGCAGCTATGAAATTAAAAGACACTTGCTCTTTGGAAGAAAAGCTATGACCAACCTAGACAGCATATTAAAAAGCAGAGACATTATTTTGCCAACAAATGTTCATCTAGTCAAGGCTACGGTTTTTCCAGTGGTCATGTATGGATGTGAGAGTTGGACTGTAAAGAAAGCTGAGTGCCAAAGAGTTGATGCTTTTGAACTGTGGTGTTGGAGAAGACTCTTGACAGTCCCTTGGACTGCAAGGAGATCCAACCAGTCCATCCTAAAGGAGATCAGTCCTGGGTGTTCATTGGAAGAACTGATGCTGAAGCTGAAACTCCAATACTTTGGCCACCTGATGTGAAGAGCTGGCTCATTTGAAAAGACCCTGATAGTGGGAAAGATTGAAGGCATGAGGAGAAGGGGACAACAGAGGATGAGATGGTTGGATGGCATCACCGACGCAATAGACATGGGTTTGAGTAGGCTCTGGGAGTTGGTGATGGACAGGGAGACCTGGCGTGCTGCAGTCCATGGGGTTGCAGAGTCGGACACAACTGAGCGACTGAATGGAACTGAAGATATGTTGCGTCATATGAGCAGGCTTTGTTTAATCCTTCATCTGACAAATATTTGTAGACAGGTAGTATAAATGAGAACACAGTTATATACACAGGTAAGTTATCTGTGTGTGAACTCAGTCACTCAATCATGTCTGACTCTTTGCGGCATTTTGGACTGTAGCCCACCAGGCTCCTCTGTCCTGAAAATGGGATTTTTCAGGCAAGAACACTGGAGAAGGGTGCCATTTCCTCCTCCACGGGATCTTCCCAATCCAGGAATTGAACCCAAGTTTCCTGTATTGCAGACGGTTTCTTTACCTGCTAAGTCATTGAGGAAGCCCACAGATAGGGTCTCCTTCAATGGAATTCTCATTGAGAGTTAACATGTCAATTTGAAGCTGCAGAAGATTTCAAGTCAAAATATATACTGACATATTAACATATATTTATTAATGAACATATTAGTTAATGTTAACTTATATTTACTTAAGTAATATACATTACTTAATGCATATTTAGTATACACTGAGAAGCTCACCAGAATGAGAATCCCGTGCACTGCAACTAGAGTAACCACCACTCGCTGAAACCAAGAGAAAAGCCCGCAAAGCAGCAAAGACCCAGCACAGCCTAAAATAAATACATAATTTTTTAAAATATCAACTTACAGATGGAAAGGTTATGGCCACTGTAGAACATAGTACTCACTTCCTATAATTGTTAAAGTAGGCAAAATATTATGAAAGTATCCTCCTGATCATCAACAGTAATGCTTTAAAAATTAATTTTAATTTTCTTTTATGCTAGCAATGGTATTCTTTTATCAAACTTCCTTGCCCTTTGGAATTGGTCTGTGAGCTTCATCAGGAAACTATGTATGTTTGACATTTATTTTTAAATTGCTTGAAATGGTGTTTGACACATAGGAAGCAGTCGGTTAGTGCTAACTGTTTTTATTTTGATTTTTAAAACTATTTTCCCTACAGAGGAGAAATTCCTGACATGAACAATATTTTGGATCGAGATGATCTGACAGTTATGAAAAGAGCTATCTTTTCAACTCAGGTAATAAAGGAAAAAATGCCCATTACTTCCCATAATTGTTAAAGTCTATTTAGATCAATATCTTAATTTTTTGAAATGGGCTAATTTGGGAAATTTTTAAACCTGAAAGCTAGAAAAGTCATCCTCAGGTATTCACCTAAGGGACACCTTTGTAAGTTCTCTTTCACCAGTGTTTTTCAAGGCTCCTATAAACAAACATCATGGAATTTGTCTTCATATCTACTTAAAAAATTCATTTGGAACCTATGTATCAATTGAAGAACTATGTATATTGCAATGACAAAAAAAGTGCCTAAAGTTTTCAAAAAGCTTAGACTTTGGAGTCACTAGAGAAGAGGTGAATGTTTCTCAGTCGAGTGGAATTGTTAAAAAGATAATTGTGTTAGCCATGTATAGCAATCTTGTCATTAACAGGGAGGCATCGGAGAACAGCCCCCTAGTGGGAAACAGCAGAGTCGCTCACCTGGAGTTCCATTCTTATTGCAAATACAGTCAGTCCCCTACATATGAATTCTGAGAGCATTCTGAGAGCATGTTCCTAAGTCCATCTTGTTCATAAGTCCAACGAAGTTAGTCTAGGTACCCAGCTAATATAATTGGCTATATAGTACAGTACTGTAATAGGTTTATGATACTTTTCACACTAATAACACATAAAAAAAACACAAAAAATAAACATTTTTAATCTCACAATACAGTACCTTGGAAAGTCCAGTAGGACAGTCCAACACATCTGGCATACGGGGGCTGGCATCAAATGAACAGGCAAGAAGGGTTACTGACTGGAGGAGGTAGCAGAGGTGGGAGATGGTAGAGCTGAAGGACCGCCAGCAATAGGAGATGGAGGGCAAGCTGCAGTTGCACACACGTCTGATGCTGATGGAATGTGCTTTTGTATCTTCTTGAAAATTCCCAACTTGAGGGTTCGTATGTTGGGGACTTACTGTAAGTCTCAGGAGGCTTCAAGAAGTCTAGGCTTTCCAGAGAGTGGCTGCTGGTGAACAAAAGCATCGTGTGTTCAGAGTATAGAAGAAAGTTCTTTAACCTGTTATCTTCCTATGAAATACACAGACAACCCCTCATCCCCTTTAGTGGCATCTCAGACCATAAAGGTATAAAGGTTGGATGACATATCACTGATGACCTATTGTTGAAATTAGTCACACTTAGTAATTCTTTTCCTGAACTGACATTTTCTTCCCTCTGCTCCTTCAGCGTCAGTCTTTGCCCCCGGTGACCACTCACAACATGATCGATGATTCCACCGATCCCATCCTCAGCACCATTAGACGTATCGGGCTCTTCAATAGCCGCACAGACAGAGTCAAGGTAAAACTCACTGTTTACGCAGGACATTTCAAAGTCATAGAGGACAGGTTTTTGAGAATTTATTAGAAGCATCCCGTGTTTGTTTTAACATCTATCGGAAATATTGTAAATGATACTTCCATCAGAAATATTGTAAATGATACTTCCAAAGAAAATTAATTCTGTTTCCTGTCTTGAGCAATTAAAACCTGCTATGTTGGTATCATTCCTAAAAATAATTGCAGACTATTTATGGCTTTGAGTTGTAATGTTGCTTTCATTTTCATTGTCAAATACTGTCAGCAAGCATCAGGAAATGGCCTCGTTTTTAATGAAGCACATATGGTCTAAGAATTGTTTAATGAATGAATCTTGGAGACTAACATAAATTGTCTTTGTTTCTTCCTCATAAAGTTCAATTTAAGGGCATAGTATGAGAAGCTTCTAGTTTCAGAGAATGTGGCTAATGATGTTTTTATGTAATTTCCTGTAGACTAATTTGTCCTTTTGACTCTTTGAGTGATGAAGCTCAGTGTTGAATAAGCTCTTGTTTCTGCTGCAATGGAGCTTAATCTCCATGATGTTTACTGAGGGTATGTTACGTTCTAGGCATGGGGTTAGGTGTGGGAGACAAGGGTAAATGTGTCAACAGATCATAGCTTATTCCTACTCACTTCCATCCACCAGCATTCAAGGTCAAGTTGTCCTAAGAATTTACCAGTCTTTTTGAAAGGAAGGTCCCAGTGTCCCTTCTTTCTTTTGCCGTTAGCAGATGATATGAATTCTAAACTCCTTCACAGTCCCTTCATACTGGCCTCACATATAGATTTTGACTCATTCTTACTTCTTTTCCTTCAGATTGTTAAGAGTTTTCTGGGATCTTATTTCCTCCCACATTCTTAGGAAATGCACCCTGTTTACCCTTTTGTATATTATAGGCTTACTAGCTCTTTCCCTTGCTGTTTACAAATATTTCTGAAATTTTTCCACATGAAAAAACAAGCTTTGCCTTAACTCTACCCCTTCTTGATGTTAAATGTTCTTCTACTCTTCTCTGTAAAGTCCCTTGGGAAAATATAGTCTATTCTTAAATGTATTTCTCATCCTGCACTCAGTTGTTGACATAGGCATCAGTGGATGCCATGGAGACAAGTTAAGGACCTACTGCATCAGTCCAGGTGAGAGATACCAAGGGCCACTTCCAAAGGCCTCCTCAGAAGTTCCGGAGAGGATGGAACAATGGCAGGAATGGTTGCCTGCAGAAAAAGACCATACTTAAGTGACCAGTGGGCACAGAGTGAGGAAGAGGCAGAAGGCAAGGCTTCAGGATGTAACCCACACTATCTAGAACCTAAGGAAAATCTTTAAAAGAAGTTGGTTTCAGGGTCATATCTCAAATGAAGTTCAATTTTTCATAGATTGAGTTACATATGGGATATTCAAGTTAAGATGCTTAAGAGGTACTTAGAAAACATAGGTCTGGGGTTTATAAGGACAGTTGTGAGGGAGGCTATTGGCATGTGGGCAGTAGTGGAGGCCAAGGAATGATGACCTTGCCATGTCAAAAGACTAGGTGGAATGAATGAAGAAAATATTGACCCAAGGGAACCTCAAGAGAGGATTAAAAGATGAAAGATTAGGGAAAGAAAGAAAAAGATAAATATATCAGAGATCAAGGCAAGAGAAATTTTAATAATAGTAGAAAGAGCTAATAGTACAGCATTAGATGATCCATGCTGTTTATAAAATGCTCCATATTGTGTTAACTCCTTCATTTCAAACAATCTACACATAGACCCACATGTATATGTATATTGCCCTGTGCTATAGAAATATGAGTGATTTTTTATTTCTCATTTGTGTTTGTGGATTTCCAAATTTTCAACACATAGCAAACATATAAGAGCCAGGCTGCACATTTTCTCCTGGAAATGCAGGACTCTTGCTGCCAAGACTGCATCACTCTTTACATTTTTTCAGCAGGATTCTTCCACAGAGTAAGTCAACACACACTTGTCATCATTCTCATGTAGTTTACTCCAGACTGGTCCTTCTCAGTTTTTTGTGTCTTGGAAGGAAAATAGTGGGAGCAAGAAAACATCTTATTTCCCCTTTGATTTCTGCTTTTCTCAGAACATTTCATGTCACAGTTCAGTTCAGTCACTCAGTCGTGTTCAACTCTTTGTGACCCCATAGTCTGCAGCACACCAGGCTTCCCTGTTCATCACCATCTCCTGGAGTTTGCTCAAACTCATGTCCATTGAGTTGGTGATGCCATACAAACATCTCATCCTCCATCATCCCCTTCTCCTCCTGCTTTCAGTCTCTCCCAGCATCAGGGTCTTTTCCAATGAGTCAGTTCTTTGCATCATGTGGCCAAAGTATTGGAGTTTCAGCCTCAGCATCAGTCCCTCCAATGAATATTCAGGACTGATTTCCTTTAGGATTGACTGGTTGGATTTCCAGTCCATGAGTCCAACACCGCAGTTCAAAAGCATCAGTTCTTCAATACTCAGCTTTCCTTATCATCCAACTCTCATATCCATAAATGACTACTGAAAAAACCATAGCTTATATTAGATGGACCTTTGCTGGCAAAGTAATGTGTTTACTTTTTAATATGCTCTCTAGGCTGGTCATAGCTTTTTTTCAAATAAACAAGTGTCTTTTAACTTAATGGCTGCAGTCACCATCTGCAGTGATTTTGGAGCTGAAAAAAATAAACTCTGTCACTGTTTCCATTGTTTCTCCATCTATTTGCCATAGAGTGATGGGACAGGATGCCATGATCTTAGCTTTTTGATTGCTGAGTTTTAAGCCAACTTTTTCACTCTCCTCTTTCACTTACATCAAGAGGCTCTTTAGTTTCTTCTTTGCCCCCTGCCATAAGGGTGGTGTCATCTGCATATCTGAGGTTATTGCTGTTTCTCCTCGCAGTATTGACTCCAGCTTGTGCTTCATCCAGCCTAACATTTCTCATGATGTACTCTGCATATACATTAAATAAGCAGGGTGACAATATACAGCCTTGACGTTACTCCCTTCTCAATTTGGAACCAGTCCATTGTTCTATGTTCGGTTTTAACTGTTGCTTCCTGAACTGCATATGGATTTCTCAGGAGGCAGGTAAAGTGGTCTGGTATTCCCAGCTAAGAATTTTCCACAGTTTATTGTGATCCACAATATCCACATATCCACAATATGACTTTGGCATAGTCAATAAAGCAGAAATAGATATTTTTCTGGAACTCGCTTGCTTTTTCAATGATCCAGCGGATGTTGGCAATTTGATCTCTGGTTCCTCTGCCTTTTCTAAAACCAGCTTGAACATCTGGAAGTTCATGGTTCACGTATTGCTGAAGCCTGACACTGAAATCAGATTGATTATATCCTTTGCAGCCAAAGATGGAGAAGCTCTATACAGTCAGCAAAAACAAGACTGGGAGCTGACTGTGGCTCAGAGCATGAACCCCTTATTGCCAAATTCAGACTGAAATTGAAGAAAGTGGAGAAAACCATTAGACCATTCAGGTATGACTTAAGTCAAATCCCTTATGACTATACAGTGGAAGTGAGAAATAGATTTAAGGGACTAGATCTGATAGAGTGCCTGATGAATTATGGATGGAGGTTGATGACATTGTACAAGAGACAGGAATCAAGACCATCCCCAAGAAAAAGAAATGCAAAAAAGCAAAATGACTATCTGAGGAGGCCTTAGAAATAGCTGTGAAAAGGGAAGCGAAAAGCAAAAGAGAAAAGGAAAGATATACCCATTTGAATGCAGAGCTCCGAAGAATAGCAAGGAGGGATAAGAAAGTCTTCCTCACTGCCTCCTGTACAATGTCACAAACCTCTGTCCATAGTTCTTCAGGCACTCTGTCTATCAAATCTAATCCCTTGAATCTATTTGTCACTTCCACTGTATAATCATAAGGGATATGATTTAGGTCATACCTGAATGGTCTAGTGGTTTTCCCTACTTTCTTCAATTTAAGTCTGAATTTGGCAATAAGGAGTTCATGATCTGAGTCACAGTCAGCTCCCGGCCTTGATTTTGCTGACAGTATAGAGCCTCTGCATTTTCAGCTTCAAATAATATAATCAGTCTGATTTCAGTGTTGACCACCTGGTAATATCCACGTGTAGAGTTGTCTCTTGTGCTGTTGGAAGAGGGTGTTTGCTATGACCCATGTGTTCTCTTGGCAAAACTCTGTTCACCTTTGCCCTGCTTCATTCTGTACTCCAAGGCCAAAATTGCCTGTTACTCCAGGTATCTCTTGACTTCCTACTTTTGTATTCCAGTCCCCTATGATGAAGGGGACATATTTTTTTGGTGTTAGTTCTAGAAAGTCTTCTAGGTCCTTGGGGAGGGAAGTGGGAGGGGGGTTCAGGATGGGGAACACATGTAAATCCATGGCTGATTCATGTCAATGTATGGCAAAAACCACTACAATATTGTAAAGTAATTAGCCTCCAACTAATAAAAATAAATGAAAAAAAAAATAGAAAGTTTTCTAGGTCTTCATAGAACAGTTCAACTTCAGCTTCTTCAACGTTGGTGGTTGGAGCATAGACTTGGATTACAGTGATACTGAATGGTTTGCCTTGGAAATGAACAAAGATAGTTCTGTCATTTTTGAGATTGCACCCAAGTATTGCATTTAGGACTCTTGTTGACTATGAGGGCTGCTCCATTTCTTCTAAGGGGTTCTTACCCACAGTAGTGTAGGTATAATGGTCATCTGAATTAAATTCACCTGTTCCAGTCCATTTTAGTTCACTGATTCCTAAAATGTCCATGTTCACTCTTGCCATTTCCTGTTTGACCACTTCCAATTTACCTTGATTCATGAACCTAACATTCAGGTTCCTATGCAATATTGCTCTTTACAGCATCCGACTTTGCTTCCATCACCAGTCACATCCACAACTGGGTATTGTTTTCACTCTGTCTCTGTCTCTTACTTTTCTCTGGAGTTATTTCTCCACTGATCTCCTGTAGCATATTTGGCACCTAC